CGCGTATGTCGATCACTGGTAAAAATGTTTTGCTAGTTGATTTTTCTCGCTTCACTGACGTTGTAAAAGGGGGGAGGGGATGAATCGCACCTGCTCATTGTTGGTGGGGTCGTATTGTCTCGCGGTTTTCCTGTTTCCAGACATGTGCTATTTACCACCGCCCCCTCCCGCTCGACAGCTTCGATGAGGAGGGACATGGGGAGGGGGGGGGGTCGTACCAGACCCCAGAAAACAGGGGGTCGACTAAAATCCTCAACCTATGATGTGCCCTGTTAACCAGCATTACTCTGGCTATGCTGCTTCGATGCATTACGTTAGCCGTAAATAAGGAGGAATGTGATGTAGTGGCAAGTGGCGCCACTTTTAAAGAGTAAATTCTCTGGCATGCTCACGCTGCGCCAGCCAGGCTTTTAGTCCCTGGGAAGACAAAAAGGTTGGTATTTCGGCTAATTCCTGTGGCCGAAGTCGTTCTCGGAAAATTTGTCAGCCGCGAAGCCATCCTCCTCTCTTCTCTTCCCACCCCCCCCCCGCACCTCCTTATTTCACTCACTTTCAATGTTCGGCCAGAAAGTTCAATGAGAAAATTCCTCTGAACCCTCGAGAAAACATCCGATTGTGGGAAGCTCTGTAACCCCAACAATTCATTGTGCAGGCCATTTCGCATTCAAAAGCTATTACTACTCAAAATAGAGGTAGATTGCCGGACGAAAGCCGAAAATGGGTGTCTGACGCCGAAACCAATTGTGTAGATTTTATCATAATTGAGAGGCGCATAAACTAGCGTATAACACATTATGTCAACTTTCTTTTTAAGTTGGCCCATAAGTGATGGCGTTTTTTGTCACGCAAATTTTTGTATGGAGAACTACAATTGTTCCCAATGTGTTCTGTTGTTTGATAGATAATTTTCTGCACTATAAGATAGTGCAACTGCCTTACTATTCCTCGACTTGTGTCGATTTTCATTTTGTTGAAAGAGGAATTCGGGTCGATCCAAAAGTGAGTTTTCGACAACTACTTTTTGAATTTTATCTCAGGCTCTCAATCTACAGAAAAAGCTCAAACCTTGTGGTACATATGACCAAAGAAAGATGCTTCTTATGACAGCTTGAAGT